TATAATATATATATTATAATATATGCACGATCGTACTATTTCTACCGGGAGCGGTGTATTCGTATATTATAATGTATACAGCATACCTATACAATATATTATAACGAAATGAATAAAGCGACCACTCTGCGGGATGACCGTCGTATGTATATTATAATATATACACACACAATGAGCCAATTAAAATGTCGTACTGTCTTGAGCTGTTAAAATCGTCGTCTTGGTTTTATTTTTTTATTTTTCATTCCATTTCAGACGACCGAGTTACAATACAATATCGAGTCCATTGCGCAGGCCAGCAGATGATGATATCCGTAACCAAATACCTAGGTAGTCGAAAACACGGCGATGTGTGCCCTTGGTCACATGTCATTATATTTTGATCCTATCGAGATGGGACGTGTGCCGAAAAATAATCGTATTTTACATATTAATATTAGTGTTATTATATTAAACCTACGTCGTCGGCCAACGAATATACAGTATTTCACGACAAACACAATACGTTATTATTATTGACTCACACTGTGCACACGGTTTGAAATATTATATTTTGTGCTTGTCGTGTTTGTACAGCGTGTACGAATGTCGTGAGGACAATAATATACGGCCATCAGCCACATGTTGATTCTTCAATCACCGCAGTTATTCACCTTCTAAAAGCCGGAAAAGTAAAATCGACTCGACACGCTGTACATACAATATGTCCGTTATGTAAAATGATAAATCAAATATCGAATATAATTTACTTCAGTCATGTACACATATAGGTATAATATAAGTCCACACTCGTATTTTATCACATGATGGGTAATCAATTATTGTCTCATTCGCCCATGTGTTATTACAATATAAGTACTACAAATGATCAATTCATTTGCTATAAAAAAAAATAATACACGTTCGAGTTCACGCGAGTCGCGAGTTAAGTATCTTACACATTCAGTTTATTTCTTAGGTTTGTTTATGTGTAGTATTTAATGTTTACGTCACTTGACTTTTTTCGAATTCATTTGGTTACTCCATCGTCACTGTTCTCACGCTACCATCAGTTGGAAGTATTTTTTAATATACGTGCGATCATAATATTAATAAAATAAATTTGACAGTAATACCTAGGTTTAGTTAATTTTTAACGTATTATACGCTTATTAAAATCTAAAGAGCTTTTAATGCGATTATAGTATACTCAGTGTTGTAAAAAATACTTTTAAAAAGTATTTGAGTAATTACTCAAATACTTATAAAATAAAGTATTTAAAATACCACCCAAATACTATCTATTGTAAAGTATTTGAGTATTACTCAAATACTTTTTAGAAGTATTTGAAATAATTTTCAAATACAAAACAAAAAAATACGTACGTATACGACATACCTTACCTACCTAATATTCGTATTATATTTCGCTATGATAATATACTATATTGGTAGGTAGTAGGTACCGAAACGTACCGTTCCAATCGTCGTCGAGTGTCGACGATAAACAGACGGTTTCTCAGAGTAACTAATATTAATTAGCTATTAATAGACGAAAACTAAAACCAATATAGAATTGTTCATAAATGATAAATATATATTATAATATTATTAAGACATTATTATTATTTGAGAATGAATAAAAAGTTGAAGGAATAAAAAAAGTATTCAATAAAATAGTATTCAATAGTAAAAAAATGTATTTAAAATACCGTTCAAATACTTCAAAAATAAAAGTATTTGAAAAAGTATTCAATACGGAAAAAAGTATTTGAATACTTTTACTCAAATACTTTTACTCAAATACTTTTACTCAAATACTTTACAACACTGAGTATACTGCTATGATGACTACCTATACTTTATAACTTATTGTATGATATTATATTGGTATGACGTGTATATGTTTGTATGCCTCTACCGTCGGTGTATATTTAGGTACTTATTTGTAAGGATTTAGAAGCTTCGAGAAGTTTGTAATAAAAAAAAAAATGGTTAGAAAATTGTCCCAAGTATAATGAAACTAGTGAGTTCCCCAGGAGATCTCATTAAATCTCACGGAGAAGGTAGTGATACAATAGGTCTTGTGGACATCGATAATAGTATAAAGACAATAAATAACAATATAACGATTACGTCGATAATATCATTAAATGTTGTACCGCATTTTCATTTGCTTACGAAGAGCAAAAAAAGGAGTAAATCTATCGGTCCGGTTTTACCACTCTCCCTCGTGGTCAAGTGCGGCGTTTTATATATCTACCCCACCCTGAAGTACAGACACTCTTGGCACAAGGTCACGTCCTTGTCCTCCAGCAATGCGACAAACGCGTTCTGATAATTTTTTATTTAGAGGGATAATAAGAGCATTTTATGGTGGAGACTGGCGAGTTGAATGCTTTTTTTTTAGGAAATTATCAATTATAACTTAAACGATTACATACTCAATACTTTGTATTCGTGAGTGGTTAGGTTTAGTTACAATAACTACGATAATTGTTATATTATGTAAAAGAAAATGACTCCGTAAACCAATTATTATGCTCGTATAATATTTAAAAGTATGTCGGTAGTTCAAAAAAAAAAAAAAAAAAACAGAGATAATTGATTATAAGATACAAGTGGCTTCTATTATCTTTTTTTCTCGGTGGTTCTACTCGTCCAAGACGTGCAGTAATTGATTTTTTATTATAATATTATCGGTACTTATGTTAATATGATTTAAAACGGATACTCACATAGTTATTTACTCATTTAAGGATTTCAAACACTAATAATAGTTGTTAAATGAAAAGTGAAAATAAAATTATTTATTTTGACCTTTATCCCGGGGGGGAAGGTTGACATTGAAATTTGAGACCATTATAACAGTTGTTAAATATTAGGGTAGGTAGGTTTTAATTTATAAATCGTGGAATACCTACAACAGTAGTACCTATTATCTAATCATAATCGCTATAATTGCTACACCGACGCGCACTGTAAAGTTTACAGTTGTATTAATAGTAATCAGTAATCAGGTTAGGTCATAACAAAATATAGTATTATAAATTATATTATAATATGATGTAAACATACTATAATACCCACAGATGATAAATCAGCAAGTTCGCATTATTTACAATTAAAAAATGAAATCATTACAACAACATTACAGGCGGGTATTGCCTAAGTATACATCGATACAGCTACAACAATCAATCGCTGTTATATTCTATATATAATATATGTGTGTGTGTGTGTTACAATATTACCTACCACGGTATATAAAGATGCTATATATATATATATATACTGTCACCGTATTCTGTATCCGTTATCTGAATTTTTTCTTGTTATCTACAGGATAAAATTCTTAATACTGTTTAGGTAAAATCATTAGTTCACTATAGTCATTTTAATAACCACACAGTGAACTAGTTGAACGTTTTAAACTAGCGTTTTGGTATAATAATATAATACCTTATGCCTTGTGGTAACCGCACTCGGATTGCACGGAATACGATGACGAGTAATATTATTGAGAGTAAATTTTTTTTTTAAATATGTATTTTGTATACCGTTTGCCACGTCGGTGGTATGTTATAATATTTGAAGGGACGATATTATCCTGTTTCCATATATTATTAAATTGCAAATGCTTACCGCGAGGTTTAGCGGCTTCATGTCGGCGGCGGGCAAGTTTTGAGGTAGACGAGAACGAACAATGACCAGCGATCGATCGATGACGGTCCTGACGAGCTTGACCGGACTATGTGGACGACTTGTGACGACGGTGCTATAATGGGCGCGAGCGTCGGACGTTATGTAAAAACGCGTGTGCGACTGAGACGATGGTCGGAGTGGTCGGGCAATGCATTTGCGGGCTCGCAGACGACGCAGAAGAAGAACCTACTCGGCGGCGGCGGCGGCGGCGGAGGTGATTCGTGCGACCGACCGGGGTAAACGTCATTTCCCCCCACGACAGACACCTGTGCGACCAACAGATTGGCGGACGCGCTAGGAGGACGATATAATATTACAGGTGAATCGTAATTAATACAATAAAATATATATCTATATTGGTAAGCGTACCATGTTGTATTATATTATTTTATATTTATATAGTATTACATCGGGCGTAAGAGACGTTTTAGAGTATGCAGTCGACAGGACGGCGGCGAGGATAAGACGATTTTATGATAGTAATATTATAATTACCCCCCTCGTCCCGCAACACCGTACCGTGACAACCGGACGTGTGTCTGTCACTCCGGCCGATCATAATAGGTAGGTACATAATTTATTATAATATATCGTACCTACAACTCGTGAAGTGATGTACCTATAGTAATATATTATACATAATATTATAAGTAATCATAGGCGTAAATTGGGGGGGGCTTAGGGGGGCTTAGCCCCCCTAAAAAATAGTATAGCCCCCTCATTTTAAATCTCCAAATTTCAATTTTTTGTTAGAAAAATAATTCAATTTATTACGTAATTCCTAAGCAGGAAAGCACCGATAGGTAGGTATAAGATTATATTATGATTTATGAACGTTTAAGTAATAGATTTTGTATTGTAATAAAATTAGAAATGATTGAGTTAGATCAATATTTATTATTTTATAACGACAACAATAATAACAGGTTATGTAATATGTTTACGCGAAGTTGGAAGTATATTAGATTCTTAGGCCTTAGTGTCTATTAATAACGCTTATCATATCACAATCGTCTATGTTTATGTAAAAACCCAATACAAATCACAAGCTATTACGATTACGAGTTTACGACAACTGCAGTCTGCAAAAATCATTATTGTGTATGCTACGACGTTAAACACTAAAGACTAAACAGTGAACACTGAAACTAAAAGTTATCCAGTTATAGATGAGAAGCCGGTGGTTTTTTCTGTGGTAATATTAAAAGTTTTAAAACTATTCATTGAGAAGCTAGTGTTTTTTCTGTGGTAACGTTAAAGCTTAAATAATTAACTATTAATTTTATTGTGAGTTTTGACTTTTTGAGTTTGTGACCATGAGTAAACAACGTGTGTTTGATATTTTCAATTTTACAAAACCTCAACCAGATAAATTAACTAGTTTAAACAAACCTAAATTGAAAAGTAATTCGGATAATGATTCCGATAGCGTTGATTCTGAATTATTAGCCCTCTCTAGCTTTTCTAGCAGCACATCGTGTTTAAATGAAACCGACGATGAATCTACTAACTATAAAAATTTATTAAAAAATGACGAAAAAATTGATCTTGGTGATTTACAATCTGGTCCTATAAGACCAGTTTTAAAGGTAATTATAATAATTATATAATATTGCATAGCGTAATTTACATTACCTACTAATTGGTTATTAATAGTGCTTAATAGAAACTAAACAAATATTTTTAAATGCTTTTTCAGTCTTACCCTATGACCAAATTTGGAAATCAAAAACGTTGTTTTAATGCTTCTTACTTTAACGAATACGATTGGTTAGAATACAGTATACAAAATGATGCTTTGTATTGCTTTCCATGTCGCAATTTTAGTGCCAACGATAATGAAGGAACATTTTCAAAAACTGGCTTTAGAAATTGGAAAAAAGTATGTATTATAACAGATCATAACAATTTTATTTTTAAAACTTTTAACATTTAATTATTATTGAATGTAATGATTATTAAATTATAATATTGTACCTATATTGTATTAACTATTATATTAGTAGTTATGGCAGTGTTAACTTTGTTTTTTAATTTTTGTAGTTAAGTGGGTCTAGAGGCATTACAGGAAAAAAACAGACTAAGCTTAAAGCTCATGCTAGTACGAAAAGCCATCTTACTTGTGTTGCTAAATGGTTAGGGCATAAGAATACTGAGACAATTGGTAGTGTGCATACACAATTATCAACACAGCATAAATTAGAGGTTGAAGCTAATAAAAGTTATATAAAAACATTGATTGATATCGCATTATATTTAAGTTGCCAGGGGCTACCTTTTAGAGGTCATGACGAGTCTACTGATTCACTTAATAAAGGTAGATATTTATTTTTTAATGTTGGTATAAAACAATTATTATATTTTATAAATTATAATATAGGTACCTAAGACCTAACTTATGTACAATATAATTAATCATTTAATAAATTATTTATTAGGTAATGTTTAATTTTTATAGGGAATTTCAAGGAAGCATGTCAATTAATGTCCAAATATGTACCTGAGTTTTCTGTAAAATTTTTGAAAACTACAAATTACACTAGTCCTTTAGTTCAAAATAGCATTATTGAAATGTGTGCAAAAAATGTAAGAGACCAGATCATTTCAGAAGTAGGCGATGGTGTATTTGGTATAATGTGTGATGAAGCTAGGTAATATATTTTTGAATTAAACATTAAAACAAATATGTTTACCTTTAATTTATCCAAGGTATATTCTTAATGAACTATGTCTATAGTGCCATAACCTATTATAGTATAATCTATTTAGCTTAAAAATTATTTGATTACCTATTTATATTGCAGATGCTATAAAGAAGAACAAATGGCCTTATGTATACGCTATTGTAAAGGGCTAGACATTTTTGAAAAGTTCATTGGTTTCATTAACTGCTCTGAAAGTCAAAATGCTCCATCTCTTTGTGAATATATACTCAAATACTTGAAGGAATGTGGATTAAACTCTAATGCTAAACTGGTAGCCCAGTCTTACGATGGAGCTAGTGTTATGTCTGGGAGATTTAATGGTGTACAAGCTTTAATAAAATGTAAATTTCCATATGCTATTTATACCCATTGTATGGCTCATAGAGTCAACCTTGTAGTGCTTGATATGTGTAAAACTGAAAAGGTATGTGAAAACTGAAAATATAGTATAATATTGTGAATTTATTGTTTATTATTAGGTAGGTATATTTATCATATTGTTTGCTTTAAAGGAATCAAGAAATGTTTTTCATACATTAGAGTCATTATATGTTCACTTTTCTCAACCAGCGAGAAATAAAAATCTCATTGACATTCAAAAAAAATTAGGTATTGAAAAAAAGACTTTAACACGACTGAGTGACACAAGATGGAACTGTCGATATAAAAATTGTGAAGCTGTACAAAAATGTTATGCTTCTATCATAAGATTATTAAAAGAAGAAATTGAAAACAATAATGATAAAGATGTTAACGAAGCAATAGGTATCAATTATAATTTATTACTAATTTAAACATTTTTATTTCTTATAATTAAATGAACTACCTAATTTATATTATTAATTATACAATCAATTTTTTTAATTTTTCAGGAATTCTGACCAATATGCAAAAAGGAATATTTGTAGTTCATTTATTTATTCTTCAAAAGGTGCTTACTATGGTTAATATATTATCAAATCAACTTCAGTCAAAGACAGCTACACTAGGAAATGCGGCAAATGTAATAAAAAGTGTTATTAAATCGTTCGAAGATTTAAGAAATCCTGTTGCGTTTTCACAAATGTGGAAAGAAATAGTACAATTTTGTGAAGACCATAATTTAACAATTGAAAAACCATTTCAAAGTATGCATAATATAATAATAAATAATATTAGTACAATAAATATAAACATTAAATAATGTTTGTTGTTTTTTAAATTGTAAAATAGGTTGTAAAAGAAAAAGGTTACAGCCAAAAAGCCTATCAAGTTTTGTCATGAGTACAACTACAAGTGCTCAATACAACACTCCTGAGGATTTAGAGGAAAGTAAAGAAGATTATTTCAGATGTCATGCTTATTTTCCTATATTGGATTGTATAATTGAGAATATGAATAAACGATTCACGCCCGAAAGTTTAGAAATGGCAACATCTATAGATAACTTTTTCAAACTAGATTTTGCACTAAGTACTTACTTCATTGATCATTATAAAGTAAATATGTATATTGTATAGCTGTATAGTGTATATATTGACTAATACTTAATTTTATATTTCTTTAGGATTTGTTAAGTATTTCTGTTGATTCGTTGAAAGCTGAAATGATCGTCGCTAAAAACGTTATAATCCAAACATATGGTACTTCAAAAGAATTAATAACAGATAACTTAAAACTTATTTTACAGGAAAATGTTTACCCAAACTTGTTTCATTTGTATAAAGTAGCTATAACATTACCTATTAGTTCTTCCACGTGTGAGAGAAGCTTTTCGGCCATGCGCCGAATAAAAACATGGTTACGAACGTCTATGTTACAAGATAGATTTACTCAGGTGTCTATATTGTACATAGAAAAAAACGATACCAAAAATATTAATAAAGATATCATTCTTAAGCAATTCGCAGAGGAACATAAATATATTATGTTAAAGTAATATTAAGATGATGTTAATTGTTATTACTTATTAATATTTGAATTTAATTATGTATGGTTTTATTTAATAAATAATTTTGAAGTATTTATATACATGTTTTTAAATTGTAAAATTTGGATGTAGATGGTGAGGGGGAGGAAAAAGCTTGCATAGTAGGCTTGTTATAAAGTTCTAATGTTATAAATTATAAATTATAATCTTAGCGTTAGCCCCCCCTTCTAGCAAGCCAAATTTACGCCTATGTAAGTAATTACAACTCGAATATCATAACATAGGCAATAATACTTTTTTTTTAAATTTTTTATTTAAAGTAAAGGCTTGGGCATCATGGGTTATTAGCCTACAGTTAAAACACAGAGATAAAAAAAAGTTTAATAAAAACAAGATTAAAATATTTACAGTTGTCTAAAATGTTTTGCTTAAATTTTATGGTGTGGAAAAATGTGTGGATTGCTTCTGGGTTTTCTTTGTCGAGAGCTAGTCGGAGAGATGTTGGCTTGTTGAAAATTGTCAGTGCTTCGTCGTATTTTGGACATCTATTAACGATGTGATCGATTACGAGGTTTTCCTTGCATGCATCGCATACCGGGGCAGGTCCTTTGGCGATGAGGAAGGAGTGGGTAAGATATATTGTGTGGCCTAGTCTGACTCGGGTTTTAATAACTTGCAATAGTATTAATTTTTAGTAAATTATTATAATATTTGTGAAGTACACAAAATTCCTCAAGTTATATCTCCACGCCCTATTCAATGTTGTCAAAAAATAATAAATTTTATAATGCTCGTATCCACTAAATATAAAATAAAGTAGGATATATTTTATTAACGACACAGTGACCTATGCATAACATGTTTATAAAACGATAATTTTTGTTTTATTATTCTTCTCAGCTCTCAAAACTGTAGTTTTGCATATTATGTTCTTATATGTATATATAGTAATATTATAAATATATGAGATTCGACTACGTATCGAATTATATTTTATAGATCGTATTTTGGAATGACTTTGTCACCAATCTCGTAATAAATAACGTAATTTGTATTCCACGATATTACGATAAATATCTTGTAATAAAAACATAGTTCAGACCTTCCGCGATGATAATGTCACTGACATCCAAGTTTTTACGTCATGAAATATCACTGCAGAATACATTCTCGTGAAAGTATCGAATTCAAAGTATTATTGTTATCATTTATCTTAGTTTTAACAATATTACAGAAGTTCAATTCAACTGTACAAGTATTAAGGTCTTGATAAAACAAAACACATTATACTACGGTCTACCAACTACGAATCATACATACCTATTCGATACTAGTATTATCTACTTATATTTATTTTGTATTCGTCACGAAGTATTACCATCCGAATGATATGCCACCGAATCGTTTTATACTGAAAAACGAACAATATTACCGTTATGATATTTTATGATGATTAATGAATCATGTATCTGTGTTTCATTATTTAAATTGAACATGTGGAATTTATTTTCTGTACACCTTAAGCATTTACGGCATCTACTGTGACCAAACTTATAATTACATTGCAGGAACCTCGTATAATAATATCCTCGATGAATGTATATAAACATACTATATAAATTATAAATTATAAAAATAAACGCTGGTGTATAATATATGTATACTACATCATAAATCTACCATTCGGCGGATCCTAGGGAAAATATTAAAGCAAAACCGTCAACTCAAATATTATAAATCAAATTATTCTACCTATAGTTATAATCGATCAATAATTTGAATGCGCCGATTATCATAATAGTCGTATAGTGACTAATGGATTGGCAATACCAAGTTATAACCCAACATAATATGATAAACGTAACTTATTTAGTTTTTATTTTAACCTCATTATTACTTCTAACATCTAAATAATAATGAACATTAATCATTTTGAAAACTATAATATTTGGACGTCCCCAAAAGGTTATTTTCTGATTAATTTGGATCACGATAT